AATCATTAATTAATTAAATAACAAAATTTATTATTATTATATATATATAGGAATTATTATTATTTGTTTGATTTAAATTAAATTTAAATGAAATCGAACAAATTTGATAATTCGTGCCAATTTGTTTGTGTGCATACACGTGTTTCATTTAGGTATACAATAAATGAACGAGAATGAGAAAAATGTTGTTTAACGTAAGAAGAAATAGATATATATATAAATAGAATGGAATAGTGTAACAACGTCAATAATTTTTCAACGGCATAGTTTACAATATCGAATCAAAAGCAAATTGCTGTGCGTCGAGTACCGGGCGAACGAGTAGCATGCGTGCGGCATACATACAAATGCCTCCGCTTGCTACCGACTCCCAATTACGTAAGATTATGACATCTGTGACACAATCGTTGTATATATAGAGAGAGACATACAGACAAACGCGTGTGCGTAACACACGCCCTCCTTCCGTGACACGCTCCGAGTATCGTCGCGATTGCTCGCCCTATGCAAGCGTATTCGTTCGTTCGTTCATTCGTTCTTTCATTTTTCCTCTATCTATCTATCTTTATCACTCTTTTTACATTAAAAAAAAAAGAATCTCATTCTCGTTCTCTATTTTCCCGCGAGTTTCAAAGCGGCTTCTTTTTTTCGCAACTTTGAGAACTATGGGTAGGGGTTGAGGGTAGGTGGGGGGGACTTTTGTAGAGTAGGAGTTAGGTGCGCGTGCCGTTAGCAATTAACTTTGCGTACCTTGTCACGAGCGAGTTCACGAGCGTTGCACCGTCACGATTTGTACACCCACCTGCGTGTCCGGGCTCATTCAGTGCATCCTTTCCTTTTTTCTTTTTCTTTATCTCTTTCTCTCTCTCTCTCTTTTCCTTTCTATTATGGTTTATTTCTTTCATACTTTGTGGTAAATCTTACGTTTAGTATCTCACGTAGTTAAAATTAAAAACACTCACCTTTATTTTTCTTTCATTTTTATTTTATTTTTTTTTATCATGTCATGTATTATTAATTATTTTTATCGTTTCAGATTTTTTTTCGCATTTTAATATGATATTTTAGGGATCATTTTGATTTATGAATCTAAGTCTATTATATATACAAACAGTCTTGTCATTTTGAAATTCAGGTATTGTTGTAAAGTAGATTTGAAACCGATAAAAAAATAAAAAATGATGTTACCCTAAATAAAAGTAAATATTCGAAATTTTCGTAGGTAACTTTCGAAATTCCCGTTCACACGGTTCCATTTCTTACGGATAATATTCCCTCTCTTTCTTTCTTTCTTTATTTCTCGGTGGTTATTTATTGACTCGAAATTATGCGCGCACATCTTCTACTTCTTCTCTCTCTCTCTCTCTCTCTCTCTCTCTCTTCTCGTGTGTCCGTATGCGATCACACCGGTTGTGTTCGGATTATTTTGCAAGATATTCTCCAAGATGTTTTCTTTCTTTCTCTCTCTCACACACTTTTTCTCTCTTTCTTTCTCTCTCTCGACTCGTCCGATCTTCATCGTGCGGTTGTAATTGGATTCGAGCTTAATACATTTATAATGCAAAGTTATTAACCTAACTAACGTACGATCGCCGCAATTACGCTACACGGCTGTGGGTTTTGCCGCCTTAACGAGCGATCTTGAGAAATCGTATCTTGCCCTGAAACGAACTTTTGCCGACACCGCGAAAAAGGGTCGTTCGCATCTTCTTCAGCGCCAAAAAGGGCAATAACAACAACTATGTTACTTTAACTTTGATTTCGAGAAATCAACTCGTTCATCTTAAGTGATGAATCCTTTAACTTTGCTGATAATTTATTCTTTTCATTGATAACACAAAGAATTAAACATTATATTTGATAATTAATAAATTTATCATATGTGTGATACTTATGATTAATTAAATTGCAGTAGGATGCAATATGATTTTAGACAATAAAATTTTGTTGGTAATTGTAATGAAATAAAAATTTAAGATAGAAAAGAATAAAGAAAGAAAGAATGAAACAAAAAGAAGGAGGAGGAGGAGGAGGAGGAGGAGAAGGTGAGCTCATTGGTAGGCCAGTAGCAAAGAATATGATTTCGTTTTCATATTCCAGGGTAGAAGAATACGAGAAGCATAGCAATGAGAACGTTGAAGCTTTTACGACCGGAAGTGAGGGGGGCACACGCGTATCCGGCCACAACCGAGAAGAGGAGAGTCTTCTTCGTCGAAGTTACCTAAAAGCCCCTCTCTCACCTTTCCCCAAACTTCTCCACGTTTTCTTTTTGCACCAAAGGATTTTCGATCTTGAAAGGATCAATAAAGAAACCCAAAAGACAAAAGAACAAATTCTTCATATCGTATAAACGTTCTCGATTAATTTTCGTTGAAATTAAACATAATGTTTGTAATGTAATATCTGTGTGTAGGATTACATCGGATTCTTCATTAAAGAAAATGTAATTAACTCTTAGCCTAAAGTCGAACTTAGGTCAAAAGATCAATTAAGATTTGCAATTTATAATACTTGCAGAATTTCTTCTTAAACGAATTTTGAAGATCTATCGTTTCGTATCGTAACATTTCTAGAAGTCGATCTATTTTCTAAGGTTTTCAAAGACAGATTTCTCGTTTTATTTAAATCCGTACTTTCGAAGGATCGTTTTTTTTCTTCTTCTTCGTCGATCTACTCGTTATGTAAGAAGTTACAGGAGTAAATGGTCATGCTGTCGCAACCTAGGCCTACCCGATAGAAATGAAAAACGTTTCTTTGCCGGTATAAACTTAGATCGCGTGCCAGGACGAACGATGCAACTCTGGTTTTTTTTTTTTTTTGGTTTGTTTGTTCGTTGGGAAGTTGCGTTTCATTCTATCCTACTTTGTTAAACTCTCAAGATCTTACGAATCGATCTCTTACGGTTAAGAGTCAACTTATAGATCAACAGTGTGTTGTAATCTTCTTTGAAACCAGGACCAACCGATGTACCTTTCCTTTTATTTTTCTCTTGGAACAAAAAAAAAATCAACATAAGAATAGAATGGAGCAGAAACGTCCGGTTTAAAAATAAAAAATGCAAATCAATTTTAGGTCCCTTACGCCACATGGCTTATTTCCTTATCTTCTTTTTTACATCGTTCTGTTCTTTTTCTTTCTTTTTTTTTTAGAAATGAATTATTAAGAATCAGGTAGTCTGAAAGAAAGAAGGTGACTCCTGACAGCTCGAATTTTAGACAGTTCTTCTCGCAGTCCACCTGTTCCGACAGATCTACTCGAGAATGAGATTATTTTGCAGATAAGAACGTTCCCTTTTTGTTTGTTTAGTCTTCCTTCTTACTCTTTAGAACTGAACCTTCCTCTTCTTTTTCTTATTCTCATTCTTTGTCTTTATATTCTTCATTTTCAATCTTTTAAACAGAACGCGTTCGTACCTTAAACGTTGGAATACCTTTTCCGTTTTCGTCACACGTATAATACCAGAAGTCCTTTTTAAAACGTGAATCCTTTTAAAAAGTAAACAAAAAAAAAAGAAAAATGTACTTCTCTTATACCCTGTGATCATTGAAAGTCCTCTCGAGATGTTCGAAAAGTCAACTTGCTACCGTGCACGCATAATATCTACATATGTAGTAGAATGAAGCTTTCGAAAAGGTGCGCGAGAAAAATTTCAGTAACAAAAACGTGGGGGAAAGAAAAAAAACTTAAAAAGCATGAAAAAAGAAAAATATAAAAGAGAAAGAGAAAGAGAATCTACTCGAACTCGTACATCGTCTTCGTGGTCGTGGTAGAAGTAGAAGTCGGTAAGCAAACGTGAAACGTGAATCACTTTGTTACGGCTGACGTCGAGTCTAAAGTCAATTCAAGACCTGGAAAGGGGGAGAAGAGGGAGGGAGAACGAATCCTGCTGATAGATTTCTCGCTCTGAGAAATATACGTCTCTCGTAATGCGTGCTCTGCACGCAATGCGAAAGTGTCATGAATTTTAGCAACGGTGTGTAACTACGCGTACAAAACGATCAGGTATAATACATATATATATATATAGAAGGTTTAAAGACTCGAGGACACCCGTGAAGTTAGGTGGTCTCTTTCTCTTTCTTGACACAAAGAAATGTCGTGTTGTCTATCTTTTTTCATTTTGTTTTTTATTTTTCTTTTTATTTTTTGTTTGCTTCTACTTCATCTTCTTGGTAAGAGGGTAAAACCAGTGGCTAAGTTAAAGAGAAGACGCATCCGTTTTTTCTTTTTCTTCTTTTTTTAAATTTTATTTTTCTTGGTCTTCTTCTTCTTCTTCTTCTTGGTCTTCTTTCACCTTCATTCTCCCTTCCAGTATTCAACGGAAATATTAAAATGCCTCGACGAGCTCCGCACATGACAATAAGTTCTTCGCGCTCAGGACGTGCTCTGGATACTGGGAGTTCGCTCTTAAACTACCTTTCGCGTATATATATTTGTATGTATGTGTATGTATATATACGTTCCCTCTACAAATCGTTTCTCTGTCTTTCCTTTCATTTTCTCTTTCTCTTCTTCTCCCGTTCGACCATATTTCGTTGGGGTGTCCGAACGAAGATTGAAATGCACACGGTGCACATCCTGTTCGGGAAAATTCAAATGAACCTTTATCCGTTCTGGCGTCTCTCGGTCGGCATACAACCCTCTTCTATCTCTCTTTCTCTTTCATTCTCATTTCTTTTATTTTTTACTCGAGATTTGGAAATGTTACGTGGTAGTAAAAAAATCATACCTTTCCTACGAGTTTTGATAATAAATGTCAGTAATTATATGTAAATTCACAAATATATTTCAATATGATTTACTTTTGAACAGAATTAATCATGAAATCTAGTTTTTTTTATCTATCATAATTATTCAAACGAATGAGATGACAATTTTGTATTTTGAATGAACTAAGATAATTATTTGTACAAATAAGAAATTCATTTATATACTTTTTCAATTTGTATTATTTATTATTACATATACAATGATTATACATATGTATGATCGTACGATTTTTAATAGACGTGTAAATTTATTTCAATACTTTGAGTACTGTAATTAAATTCCTAAGGCGCCATTAGGAATACAGCTCAAAGTTTGACTTCTTTATTTTCTATATCAACGATTCATTGGTCCCTCATTGATTTATTTCCTTGATGGTAATTATTAAATTTCAATATTCATATTTATTTTATGAATTAGTTGGAAAAAATAATACAGAATTGTAGATATTTTTCGACAAGGGACTATTTGTAGTTTTAGAGTTCTACGAGTTCACATAATTGAAAAAATTATTTATTAAACTAGTTGAGATATTTGATAAAAATTATTATTATTATTATTACTATTTACCGTGAATGATTCGCTGATATTATTGAAGATCTGTCGAGGACCTTTAATAACTTTTCGAAAATAAAACCACGAACTTTGCCATATCGTTTGATCGTTATTTTCGTTATTAATTTCTACATTATTTTTCAAATCCTTTCGTAAATTTTCGATCTTCCTTGGTACGTTATTAGTTTCGTTGCATTTTAGTAAATTTAACGAAATATGCGACGGTATACGTTTAGTACTCGTTGAGTTAATTTGCCTGAAAAAATAAACAATTCAATTTCATATCATTAATTTATTAAAATAAGAAAAAAATATTAAAATAAAATTATTAATTTTTAATTATTAAAATAAGAAAAAAAAAATTAAAAAATAATAGGAAAAGATATTTACCAATTTTGTTGTACGTGCTGCCTCAAATTAATGGCAGCAAGAATACATAATGCGTACATTTGTTTCTGTAGAAAACTATTTATCATTATTCTCAATCTTAAATATGATTACTAATTTTTATTAACAAAAATATAACTGGACAAAATTTTGATGATCTAACTTGTATGTTTTAATTTGTTGACAATCGCGTTAATGATTTTGTTTATTGTGAAATTAGATACACATCCTACGTTTTACATTTTGTTTTTTTCAAAACCAAAGTATGACAGAACAAAAGATAGATTAGATTTAGATTTCATAGTGTGTGTTAAAAAAAAAATGAAGTTAAGTAGTCTAATCGAGTAGGATAACGAGCAGTGTATATATATGTGTATTGTATATTTATAAGAAAATTGATGATATTAAGATGGAATATAGGGGAGGAGGATGGATATCACGAAGAAAATATTTGAAGCACTCGTAGATCGCGGTCGTATTATCCGCGGAAATTGGTTCTAGCGAATGCGAGGTCATGAAAGATCTGCGCAGGCGCTAGAGGATCGCGTGCGAGACAGACAACTCATCCACACTCACGTATTAAACATAAGTGCTACTTACCTATGCCCGATCCTCCGAACCCGCGAGCATCTTTCTTCCCTTTTCTTCTTCTTCATCTTCTTCTTCTTCTTCTTCTTTTTCTTATTCCTCCCTATTCCTCTCTTTCTTTCTGTTTCATTTTCATCTTTCTTCTCTTTCAAGTCTCTTTATTGCAAATCCCTTTACATACATACATATATTACATACGTATATGCGTATATGTAGGTGTAGTGTATATTTCCATGGTGCCCTTCTCCATTGGTTTTCTTTCTCTCGATCCACATATGTACTTCTTCTTCTTCTTCTTCTTCTTCTTCTTGTTCTTCTTGTTCTTCTTCTTCTTCTTCTTCTTCTTCTTCTTCTTCTTCTTCTTCTTGAGAAGTTTCATGAGAAACGAAGATCCGTTCGTAGGAACGCCCTGACTTTCGTAGAATTTAACTCTCCTTCCGTGAATTACTCACGCGATATTAACCTCGTAAAGGATGAAACGATTTTTAATGTTTAAATATACATTATTTTACGATGTTTTATTAATTTTTGTTTTAATAAGCGAATTATATTAAATTTCGTCTACCCCTTTAATTAAAATGTTATTTCATTTTGATTGATTGATCCAATAGTTTTTAGGTAAATTTGTGAATTAAATGAAATAACATTGTTTATTTGAAAAAGGTAAATTTAGTTTCTAAATTGTGTATCAAAAATAATATAATGAATTTAAAGGAAAAGAAATTGTAGATGTTTCTCGTACTGTCTGTTGATCTCACTCCTCGGTAAAGGACGATTCATGTCAAGGGTGAGGTCAGCGTAACGAGTAGGATGTTCCACGAGTAGTGGTTCATTTTCACTCAGGAATAACCTTCGGCACACGATCAGCCGCCATTAAGGGGGATAGTCTATAAAAATCATATAAGTATCGCGGAATATTCTTTCAACCTGGTTTGTGTGTGTGTATGTAAGAGGGGAACAGAAAACAAAAAAGAAGGATATTGGAAATAAAAAGGGAGATAAATCGAATACATGGATGGTTAGATCTTCCAACAGTTTGTTTACTTGTAAACAAATTCTAGAAGTTTAATAAAAAAATAATAAAAATAAGTAAAATAGTAAAGTGAACCAAAAGAAGTTGGTGAGAATTCGTTGGGTTGAAACTTTATTTTTGAAACTTCATACTATGGATTGTCTTTTGTAAGATTAACTTTAGAAATTTTAATAAAAAAATAAATGCACGAATTTTTGGTTCAATAAAAATAATTATAATATTTATAAATAATATAATATTATAGAATGAACCAAAAGAAGTTCATACGTTCATTGCTTTAAAACTTTGCTTTTGAAACTTTATAATGGATTATTATTCGTAAGATTAACTATAAAAATATTAATAAAAATAAAAACTTATACGAACTTTTGTTAACCCTAATAATAAGATGATAAAAAAGTCAAGAAAAAAATCAGAAAAAATTAGAATAAAAAGAATAAATATAAGAAAACTCGTAGACACCGTTTCAAGCCGAAGAAGAGCGGTCGCCATTATCAAATTATTCGCTCACTCGTCGGGCGCCATCTATCTTCTTGGAGCCGCGCGCGATCCAAACGTGTTATTATTTGATCCTCACTTTGTTAGCGATCTCTTCAGTGTAACAGCCTTCGCGATATGTACCTGCTTGTTGTTGGATTCTGCCAGGCCCGATCTGGAGTACTTCTCACGATCTCGCTTCTAGCGAGAAAGAGAGAACGAAATAACTCAAAGTAGCTTTCAAGTAACTGAAAGAGAAGGAGTGAGAGAGATAGAAAACACGAACGAGTTTGCTCGTTGCTTCTGCAACATTGTTTTCTAAGTTATCTTTTATTCTGTTCATATTTTCTGTCAGTTGATCGCATTCGTTCAACTAACATTGCATGGATTCTTTTAAAATGATATATTTTTTCTACACGTCTCATTTCGTATTATGTGAATTATAATATCTGTCATGGGAAATAACATTTTCTAGAAACAAATGGAAAATTGTTTACTGGCCATTTAGTAATTCGATTCGCTCTCGTTCGAAAGTAATGTAAGTAAGTTTATTTTATATCTATAGAATGAGAAAGTTTATCTTGTTCTATATGGAAGATTTAAATGACACCCCCATGACGAATTCTAGAGTCATTGATTTCTTGATTTACGAGAGCGTGTATTACTTGATCCTTTATTTTATTATACGTTAGATTTTCACGTTACGATGATATGGTTTTACTTTTCTCTACTTTTTTTTCATTGTCTACTAAAATGCGTAATTTGTTCATTCTCAAAGTACTCGCACGTATACGTATTTATAAATATATATTTATAATTATATATTAGGGTGGGTCAAAAAAATGACTTATTTTTTTTTTTCAAGTGCCACGGAAAAATGGGTTGCTAGACACCTTAAAACAATTCTCACCAAATATGAGCTCTTAATTTTAATAGGAAAATCCTCCGCATCGCAGTTTTTTATTTTTTTTTCAGTCCAATAGATTAAAATTCATACCTCATTATTTATTGATTGTACAGAAAAATGTTATAGACAAATTTTGTAGGAAATTTAATGCTCTACAAAAAAGGGGTATCTTATATTTTTTCCGTAAACCTCACCATTTGAATGATATTGAAGATGTAAATTTGATGATTTTTAGACAAATTTCATTTTTGTTTATGAATTTTATAACTCGACAATAAATGACTATTAAAAAGTGCATAATACAAATTTTTGTAGGAAATTAACTGCTCTATAAAATTGGTATCCTAGGTTTTGGCGATTAAATTAAGCGTTCAAAAGATATTCATCATCAAACTTTCATGTGTACTGATTTTTGTCTCTGAATATCTTTTTGACCCACCCTATTATATATATATATGGTATAACTAAGAAACAGGTGAATATGCATAATTATTCGTATTTATACTGGCAAGCTGGCACTAATTGCCTTGTGTAATTCTCATAATCGTAAATACGCTCGTCAAAAGGTGTTGAAACACAGCAAGTGCCTTCAGGCGGCAACCCAGCCCGATAAATAAATCACGGGGACGGCGAGAGAGATACGTAATCTAATTCCGCGAGATATGAACGACTTGAAGGGAGAAAAAGAAAATGAGAATGAGAGAGAAAGAGAGATATAAGCTCACTTAATTTGCCTCTGTCCAAGATACTACTCTCAACTCGGATTTGACATTTCAAAGATCAAGGTTGATCGTAATTGTCAGTTCAAATGGATCTCAAACACGTTTTACGATCTTTCGTGCATTGTAAATTGGAAAAACTTAGTTACAATGTTTCCTTGAACTATATATTCAATCGAAAAGTTATAATATTTTCAAGTCAATACATTATTATACTCAGATGTTTTAATATTATCGATAAAATTCAGGATTACTTAATTAAAGGAATGTAATATTAACATTGTAGACAATTAATGTATATTTATTTTATATTAAATTATTCTAAATAAGATTGACTATTATTATACTAAACAAATAAATGTTGTATTTTAATTTTTATACATTTGAATTGTGAACATATTAAAATGAATTTATTACACCAATTACATAATACAACTATTATTTGTATATCATAAATTTCTGTTATTTCAGTTGTATGACACAAAAACATTTGATTTTCTTCTCTCACGAAAGTTAAGAAATATTCCAAATGAAGAAGATGATCGTTGGTTAATATCAAATTAAATAAATACAATAATTTTTTGTCATATTTACATATATATATTTATTTTGTAATAACTTACTACTTGATTTTCTTCTTCAAACGAAGAAGTTAAGTGTGTATTCCGTTGATCGTAGGATACAGTATCGAGGCCAAAGAATGACTTTTGAGCGTTCTTAAAGGGAAATGAAGGGTTTAAGATGAATGGAAGTTTCTCAAGGTGTCAAGAGTCAACGAGGTAAAAGGCTCCGGGGTAGAACTTATTCGTGACACTCGACACGACTCGCAACCGTCACTAATAACAATGAACACGCTGTAGTCGTTTCGAGACGCGCTAGTACACTGGGTGTCTCGATTCAACTTACTTAGCCATTCTCCTCTACTTCTCTTCTTTTTCATCATCATCATCGTCTTCGATCTCGTCTTCTTCTTCTTCTTACCAAAGAAACAATACGTAATATTTTCGAATAAACGCGTTTGTACCTGGACGTTATATTTAAAGATCGCTCGAGCGAGTAGAAAGTAATATAGCATCGAGTTGAAGTTGAGTATGACTTGGGTGCTGTTACAAAGGACTTCAAACGTAGATCAAACAGGAGAAAGAGAAAGAGAAAAATAAAATGAGAAATGAAATGAAATAAAGGATAGACAAGTTTAAGCAGCAGACGTTGTTACGAGCATGACGTTGTCGGAAACGTAAGAAAGCAAAAGATAGATAGAAAAAGAGTAAGAAGAAGAAAAAAGAATAATAAAACACGTTTAAGAGGGAAGCGTCTCATCGTTCGTATGAATTCGCATTGACTCGATATCACAACGATGCGGATACCTAACTTTATACGAACGAGTAGGCGTTCGGTTCTTTGTGAATAGGCGAAGCTTAATTCTAAAACGTTTCTAACGATCTCTCTCGTTGATATTCGGTCGGCGAGTGCGAAATGGTGGCTCGGACTGGCTAGTGTCCGGTCGTTTGTCCAATTCGATCACGTACAGTTTTAACGCTTTACATTGAACGGAGCGCGTGCTCTTCGTGTAGAACTCTGACTATATACATATATATATACGTACACCTATCTAACATACGCGTTTATATATATATATTTTTATCTAAATAAATGTGTATACCTGGTGAAGTATTTTGAACAAATTTCATACTTTGGTAACTCGATAGTTATTAATCATTTCAATAAAATTTATTTGATTTTTTAGATACAATAATTTCATATATTTATTGTAATATTTTACTAGTTATATGTTTATATTTTTATTATTAAAACAAAACGAAGGATAAGAGTAGGAACTGTAAGGTAGTTTCAATGTACGTGTTTTGAAATATCTATTAAATATAGTTTATTTATAGATAAATATAACATTCTATTTTACCTACACTTATAAACAAAAAAAAAAGAAAATTATTCATTTGAACAAATTAGTTTCTATCACCGATAGAAGTAATTGAGTTAATCTGGTGACAACTTGTGTTAAATGCTTCACCCGGTATATTTATTTCACACGTACATAAGTATACAAATATATAGAAAGAATACGTATTTAGGTGTGTGCGTAAGCGAGTAAAAAGTGCGTGCACACGCATAGAGACGAGGGAGGCGTGGGTGTTGTTGTTGTGTTGTAGTCGTAAAACAAAGTCTAAGTTTTCCAAGGTAGACGACGAGAGGATTTAAACTAACACTCGAGTGTTTGGAATTTATTGAAGACACATTTTATTGTCGTCGTCTAGCTCTCGGATCGATTGAAGAGGATTTAGCAAACGATTGTACGGCGCCACCACCACCACAACCACCACCACAACCACCACCACCACCGTAACGATCACCACCATCACCGTTCTTTTCTTCGTAAGTTACCCGTTAAAGTAATCGATGGATGAAGTGAATCGTCGTTCGTCTATAACGATTCATTAAACGTTCTGGCATTTCTTTGGCACGAGCAAATCTTCTTCTTTCGATTTGTAAGACACATGCGAGCTATTTATCAAGCATTTTTTTTTGTTGTTGCTTTTTTTTTCCCTCTTTGATTATTTGCGAAAGTAGGTAGGGAATTTCGTAAGTTGGATGAACGTTGAATTAGAATTCAGGAAGTAAACGTTTTAGTTCTATCTTTTCTTTTCTTTGAAGAAATCAGACGTTGCGAGTAATGTGAGAAAAATTAGAACGACGAAATAATATTTTAATAAGATTTAATAGATCAAAACGCTAGATGACATATATGAGATCAAAATTGAAATAGAATTCGTGATACGATTAACTCCCCTTTTTTATTTCTATCTTTCTTTTCGAAGAAATCACGAGTTTCGATGATAACCACAAAAAAAGAAAAAGAAATGCAAAAAAAGATTCGAGACGATAGTTTGTATCGATAATAATAACAAAAAAATTATTATTAAGCAAATCACGGCGAACGATGATGGTGTCGTGTCCAGGGATTCGTGGAAATCACATTGATCGGAGTAGACCCTTTTTTTTTCATCCCCACTGAATTTTTGTTGTTCGTTACGATCACTTAAGTTGTTCTCTCTCTCGGTGAAAAGAAATGAACATTATCGAGACTCGTGTGGTGTCCTATCGGATATATTGAAGGATGAAAGAAGAGGAGGTAGGTGGTGGATGAGGTGGAGGAAGAGGGAGGGGGCAGACAAGACAGGACGCGGGGCCAGCGATCGTGAAAATCAATTGATATGTGTCACGGCGTACCGAAAGCTTCCTTGAAAACGCACCGGATGCTTGAGGGGTTTCGTGGGCGACGGGGCATTGTCTCTCTCTCGGCGCTCCCTCTTTTATCCGACCGACATGTCGAATGCTGGATGCATATCAATTTATGCCCCATCTCAGAAATTCACTTTCCATGCTCCGACGACTCCTTCTTTCGTCTTTCTTCTTTATCTTATATATATGTTAGTTTTCTGTTTTACCTTCTCTATTTACTTTTATTATTATATCTCATTTTTTAGGATTTTTTTTTGTCTGATAAATGACTTTTGAAACACCTTGTATTTATATACAAAATGTTTAATACCTAGGTATGGTATATCATATATGATATAGTATATTATATGATATACTATACCTATGAAGGTATTAAACACCTTGTATGTATATAATATATATATAATATACAGGTATTAAAACACATATAGTAAATATACGTATATGTGGATTGTTGGTTAAGTAAAATTACTTTTTCTTTTTGTTTGATAGATGATTTTTGAAACACTTTATATATGAATTGATTTATTATATTATCATATATGAGATATATACCTAAGTGAATTGTTTCTTTCAGTGAAATGATTATTTTTAATGTAAAGTACATAAATGAAGAAATAGATTAAATTATTTATGCTTCTGTTCAATTATTGTTAAACGTATATATATATATATGTAATTTAAGTTATATGAATTATGTGTGATAATATTATATTTATATAGGTTGAAATAATTTTTCATTTATAAACTTGTAAATGTACTAAAGAAAAAAGTACAAAAAAAATATTTAAATTAGTTTTAACTTTGCTCTTACTTCTAAACACATTTGATTTTATTCCCAATTATTTTTTGTTGTTTTTTCTCTCCTTCTTATAATAATAATTTACATTTGATAGATCATTCTAATCTCTTTTGCTACGCTTGTCAAGCCATCTGTTAATGTACTTCCCTATTTTCCATTCGAATATTATTTCGTCGTTATCCACTTATTTTTTTTTTTAATTTTTTCTTTTTCTATACAAATAAATAAATAAATAAATAAATAAATAAATAATTCTTATATTAAATCTGTCGATAAGCCAATATATCCTAAAAACGATATTATATTATCCTTATAATTTCATTTAACAAATAATACGATAAGAGTTCAATTTTAAGTCTTCAAATAGAGACATCAAATATTATTTTCGAATCACGAAAAAGTCACGGCTTTATCGTATAAGAAAAATAAAAAAAAAGCATCTTTAAGTTTACGATCGAGAAATAGGAAATCACCGGCGCCTATTATATTACAACTTGAACATTCTGGTATCCTTCGTTGGTGTAAGGATACGTTGAATGCTGGATGCATATCAATCCATGCTACGTCTTATAATTCACTTTCCACACTCCGACTCGTTTTTCTTCGTATCTTTTTTCTCTTTTTTTTTTCTTCCCTTTTCACACATACACATACATACTTTCTCTATCTATCTTTTTTTTTTGTATTTTTTGTTGTTGTTTTTCTCGTCGGCATCTCTCGGTAGCCGGAGATGCGCTTCCTTTCTATGTCCGACGCATCCTTGCTACTCTTCCTGTCTATCCTTCACTTTACATTTCAATCGATCTTACATTAGTAAATAGCTTCTCACGAGAGGGTGGTAAAGAGGGTGGGAGGGTATATCAAGTACGTAACGTGCATCGAAAAAGATCTCTTATTCGAGAAATCTTTCCTTTAAATCAATCTCTAACGAGGAATGCAAAATCTAATCGAGTTGTTGAACTCTAGAAGATTCAATTTAATTTTAGGTGCTTACAAGAAAAAAAACGTGTACTAAATGTCAACACATCGAAGTGTCTTACGTTAAACTTTTAAAAAATAAAATACAAAATTAAATGTACCCATTTACAAAACAAAATATAATTATTATTATTACTTAAAATAGATTTTTATATATAAATACTAGGGGTGCCCCGGCCACGCGTTGCTGTGGCTAATAAATATGTAGATAGATCTGAATCTACGCACATAACATTTGTCTTCTTTTTCTCTTTCTTCTTAATATCGAACCAACTGCGCATGAGCAGTAACATAAGATCACCACTTACTTCACATCATATAATTTTACATTGTCTGAATATAGACACATAACATTAGTCTTTTCTTCTCTTTTTTTTCTTAATATCCTTTTAAAGGAATAATAATTATGGTAGATCACCCTTATCACTCAGGGGTATAAGAAATATACAAAAAACTATTCTCATACCTACCGAATATACACAAAAAATTTCATATAAATCGGTCAAGTGGTTTCGGAGAATAAGAATAACAAACACTGTGACAGGGGAATTTAATAGAGATAAGATATTTAATTATATTGGTATAACCACTGGTATGATTTAGTTATATTGGTAATTATATTATTTATAATTATATATATTATAAATAAATAATATTAATTTCTTATCATCTACAATTATATATTTATATGAAAAATTAAATTATTAGAAAAATTAGAAAAATATTTTCTACCAAAATAATTTGATGGGGTTAGAAATAATAAATAAGAATTGAAAGAAAATATTATT